AAAGGCATGACAGTAATCATTGGGGATTTTAATTTACGTGTAGACTGGGAAGAATGAGATTAGAAAAGGTAACCTAGATAAGGAATTTAGAGAATGTTTTTGAAGTAGTTTCTTGGAACCGTATGTTCTGGAGCCATACACCATAAGACGTAGAGCTGAAATAAGCCATTCAACCCATGGATCTGTTCTGCCATTCAATGCAATGCCTAATCTGAGCATTCATAACACCACTTTCCTGCCTTTTCCCGATATCCCTTGATTTCTTTACTGATTAAAAATCTGACTATCTCAACCTTGAATGTACTTAATGACATAGCCTATATAACCCTCTGCAGAAAAAGAATTCCAGAATTCCACAGATTTGGTGCCCTCTAAGTCAAAAACAAGTAGGGAGGGAGACAGAAAGCTGGAAACTATAGGTCAGTTAGCTTAACATTTGTCACAAAGAAGATATTAGAACCTATTATCGAAGGTCTTATGACAGGGCACTCAGGAAAATCCTTCTCATCTCTGTCTTAAATGAATGACCCTTTACTCTGAAATTATGTTCTCTGGTCCTTGATTCTCCCACAAGGGAAAACAACCTCTCTGTACAACCTCCCTGTCAAGTCCCCTAAGAATCTCGTGTCTCAATAAGGTTGCCTATCATTCTTCTATATTGAGTTGAGGCCCAACCTACTCAACCTATAATGGGAAGGGAATGTACTATAGCGTAAGATAGTCCCTCCATGCTCAGGTCAACCTAGTGAACTAGGTCTGGACTGCTTCCAATGCCATTATATCTTTCCTTGTGTAAATGGACCAAAATTGTTCACAGTATTCCAGGTGTGGTCTAACTAATACCTGTATAGTTTTATCAAAAACAGAAACTGTTGGAGAAACTCAACTTAAAATGTTAGCTCTGCTTTTTCTCCACAGATGCTGCCAGACCTTTTGAGTTTCTCCACCAATTTCCATTTTTCTTTCAGTTTCTGGATCCACAATTTTTTTGGTTTATTTCCCTATTTTTATACTCCAATCCCTTTGAAATGAAGTTCATCACTCAATTTGCCTTTCCCTATTACCTGCTGAACTTGGATGGTTGCTTTTTGTGATTTATGCTGAAGACTCCCAATTTCATTTGTGCTCCAGCTTTCTGCAGTCTTTCTCCATTTAATAATATTCAGCCCCTCTATTCTTCCAGCTAAAGTGCATAATCTCATATTTTCCCACATCTCTTCCATCTGCCATGGTTTTGTTCACTAGCTTAAACTGTCATTATCTCTCTGCAGACTCTGTGTCATCCTCACCACTTGCCTCCCCACTTATTTTTATGTCACCTGCAAATTTACTTATAGTGCATTCACTTCCATCTTCTAAGTCATTAACATATATTGTAAGTAATTGCGGCACCAGAACTGATCCCTGTGGCACTGCACTAGTTAAAGTCGTCATCCTGAAAATGCCTCCTTTTTCCAACTCCTTGCTTCAGTTTGTTAATTCCCTCACAGAGTCTGTGTTAAGCTGCAGTTAGAGAAATTAGAGATTTTTTTTATTATACTGAGGTCTCCTGAACCTAAAACAAATGGAACCAATTTGTCAGGACTCAATGTCCCTAAAAAATAACACTGTCCCATATGCATGGGGTAGCTTCACTTGTTTTTATAAACTGCAAACAACTTCTTGCACATTCTCCCCTTGGTAAAAGAAGTATCCATTTTCCTCATTTTCAGTCAATTCAAAAATAAAAGGAAGACGTGTCATTGCAGTTTTACTTTTTGAAGATTCCTTTGATTCAGGGAAGGTTCCATTTGAACAGAAAATAACAAATGTAACTCTTTATTTACAAGTAGGGAGGGAGACAGAAAGCTGGAAATTATAGGTCAGTTAGCTTAACATCTGTCACAAAGAAGATATTAGAAACTATTATCAAAGGTCTTATGACAGGTCACTCAGGAAAATTAAAGATAGTTAGGCAGAGTCAACATTTGAAAAGGTACCAAATCAAAGATTATTGTGGAAAACAAGAGTTTATGGAGTTACATTAACACATGGAAGGAATGGACAGAAGACTGGCTGTCTAATAGGAAGCAGAAAGTAGTCAGAAATGGGTATTTTTCTATTTGGCAAGATCTAATAATCATGTGCCATAAGGAGCAGAGTTGGCACCTTGCCATTTTAGAATTTATATATTAATGATGTGGATGAAGGGATGAAAGGTATGATAGCTAAATTTGCTGAAGACACAAAGGTGGATAGGAAAGTAAATTGTGAAGAAAACATTATGAGGCTACAGAGGAATATTGATGGGTTTTTATGGGAATGTTTAAAAAATTATTCATGAGATGAAGGCACCACTGTCTAGCCCAGCATTTATTGCCCATCCCTAATTGCCCAGAGGGCAGTTAAGAGTCAACTACATTGCTGGGGGTCTGGAGTCACATGTAGGACAGACCAGGTAAGGATGGCAGTTTCCTTCCCAAAAGGACATTAGTGAAACAGATTTTTTTTTTCCCCAACAATTGACAATGGTTTAATGGTCATCATAAGACTCCTAATTCCAGATTTTTATTGAAGTCAAAATTCACCATTTGCCATCACAGGATTTGTGCCCTGGTCCCCAGAACATTACCTCTGGGTCTCTGGATTAACAATCCAACGACAATACCACTAGGCCCTCTTTCCCAATTTAATCCTGATGAGTGTGAAATGATGTATTTTGAGAGTTCTAATAAAGGAAGAATATACACAAAGTATAGTAGGTTCTTAGGGAGTTCTGAGGAACAAAGGGACCTTGGTATACAATTCCATAGATCCTTGAAAGTGTCAGCACAGGTAGATGGGGTGGTGAAGAAGACATTTAGGATGTTTGCCTTCATTAGCTGGGGCATTAAATTTAGGAGCAATGGACTCTTGTTACAACTATATTAAACCTTGGTTAGGCCTCAGATGGAATATTGTGTGCAGTTCTGGTCACCAAACTATCTGAAGGACGTGGTTGCACTGGAGAGGGTGAAGAGGAAATTCACCAGGATTTTGTCTGGGACAAAAAGTCTCAGTTATGAGGACAAACTAGATAGGCTGGGTTTGTTTTCCTTGAAACAGAGGAGGCTGAGGATGGATCTGATTGAGATATACAAAATTGTTAGAGGTATAGACAGTATAGATCATGAGAATCCCTTCCCCATGGTAGTCATGCCTAAGACCTGAAGGCATTGAGTCATGTAGCACAGAAACAGACCCTTTGGTCTAATTCATCCACTTCGACCAGACATCCTAATCTGACCTAGTTCCATTTGCCAGCATTTGGCCCATATCCCTCCAACCCCTTCCTATTCATATACCCATCCTGATGTCTTTTGAATGTTGTAATTCATTCCAGACAACACACCACCATCTGCGTGAAAAAGTTACCCCTCAGGCTCTTTTTAAATCCTTCCCCTCTCACCTTAAACCTATGTCCTCTAGTTTTGGACTCCCCCACTCTAGGAAAAAGGTCTTGGCTATTCACCATATCCATGCCCCTTATGATTTTATAAACTTCTATAAGGTCACCCCTCAGCCTCTGACGTTCCAGAGAAAAAAGCCCCAGCCTGTTCAGCCTCTCCCTATAGCTTAAACCCTCCAACCCCAGTATCTCCCTGGAAAATCTTTTCTGCACCCTCTGAAGTTTAACGACATCGGTTCTATTGAAGGACAACCAAAATTTTATGCAGTATTCCAAAAGCTGCCTCTGCAACATGACATCCTAACTCCTATACTCAATGTTATGACCAAATCTGTAATTAGTGTGATAACCCTTCTCTGAACAGCTTCCACTGCATTTACATCCTTCCATAGGTGAGGAGCAAGTTGTTTAGAAGAAATCTGAGGAAAGATTTTTTTCACCCGGGGGAGGTAGATATATGGAGCATGTTGTCTGAGATGGCAGTGGAGGGAGATACTCACACAACATTTATGAAGCATCTGGATGTGCACTTGAAATGCCAGGGCATAGTAGGCTACAGACCAAGTGCAGGTAATTGTGACCTGAAACATTAACCCTGATTTTTCTTCACAGATGCTGCTAGACCTGCTGAGCTTTTCCAGCAATTCTGTTTTTGTTAGTGGAGTTTGGTGTTTGTTAGTTGGCATGGATATGGTGGGCTAAAGGGCCTTTTTCTACGCTGCATGACTCTATGACTCTAAGTGAGTAAGCAAAGGTCTGGCAAATGAAGCACAATATGGAAAAATGTGAAATTGCCTATTTAGGCAGGAAAAGTGAAAAAAAGACATGTTATCTAAGTGGTGAGCAATTGCAGAGAATTGGTGAGACCGCATCTGGAATACTGTACACACAGTATTTGTCACCTTATTTATGGAAGGATGTTAATGCATTGGAACCAATTCAGAGAAGGGTTATCACACTAATGCCAGATTGAGGCACGTTGGCTTGGGAGAAAATTTGGACAGGTTTGGCTTTTGTCTGCTGGAGTTTAGACGAGTCAGAGGAGACTGGATTGCAACATATAAAGCCCCGAGGGATCTTGACTGGGTGAATGTGGAAAGGATGTTTCCTCTAATGGAAGAATTTAGAACCAGAGAATACCCTTTACAAATAAAGGGTCACCCATTTTAAACAGAGATGAGAATATTTTTCTCTCAGTAGATCATAAGTCTTTAGAAGTCTCTTCCTCAAAAGCTGATCAAAGACTTAGCTTCTAACATTTAAAGGCATAGATAGGTAGATTCCTAATGACCAAGGGGTTGAAAGATTATTGGCAATAAGAATCTAGAATAATCAGATCAGCCAAGATCTTGTTGAATCGTGGAGCAGAATCAAGGGATTAAGAGTCTAACACCTGCTCTTAATTTAAATGTTTGTGTTGTGATTGTAACAAGGTCAGTCAGGTGGAGCTCATAAAATATGAGTTCCCTCTTTGGGGATATTAATCTGGTCCAATCAGATTGGAGGTCCAGGTCCTGGCTGACAGATATAAAGGAGTGTCAGACATCCTGTTCACTCAGAACTGTCTCTGAGCAAGCTGGATCAGTATCAAGGACTCTCAGTGTGTAAGTAAAGGCTAACTTGGTGATGGGATTCCAGCCTCTGTGGAGTTATTTCAGTGGTGACAAGAGTGGGATACGTCCTGATGCAACAGTCGTCATTGAGTTGGGGTAAACATTCTGGCATCATGCCGTTATTTGGGAAGCTTGACTCTTTCAACCCTGCCTTCGAAGACTGGGCCCGGTGTATGGAAAGAATGTGTTAATTTTTTCGAGACAAATGACATTGGGGCAGATGATAAGCAATGAGAAATTCTCCTGACAGCTTGTGGACCTGCAGCTTTTTTGGAGTTACTCAAAATGTTCTTTCCAGCGAGCACTGACTTATTCCATGATGAGTTTCCTTCCATGCTTGTCTCTTTAAAGGGACTTGGCCCATAGGTCGTGTTGATAACATTAAAGAAGCCTCGCATCTCATTGGTGTCTGTCAATTATGTGATCTCTGGTGCTATTTCTACCCAGCATCCGTGCATAATATTGTGGGGTTTTGTTGCATGATTGTCTTCAGCTGCCTCTAGAACTTGCTTTTATCTTGAGGCATGGTGAAGTTTCTGTGAAAGCTGTGCAGTTGTGCTCAGGTTCTTTTCTTTTTATTCATTTTGAGCATTTCTGCCTGCCAGCATTTATTGCCCGTCTCTAGTTGCCCTTGAGAAGGTGATGGTTAGCTGCCTTTTTGAACCGTTGCTGTCCCTGTGCTGTGGGATCACTTAGGTATCACTTATTTATTTTCATCAAACAGTCGTGATGTTACGATGAGGTGCAGAGAAATAAAAGAAACTTTGCAAGTCCTTATTGTGATGGATTGTGGGATTGACCAGGCACAATGGACACGTTGCCAACCTCCATCCACCAGAGCCTACAATGACTTGCTGACTGAGAAAGGCTACCTTGGTGAGATCTTTAAGGCCTTTAATGACAATTTACTTAACTCAGTTGGCTGGACAGCTGTATTGTGATGCTGAGTAATGCCAATAACCCGGGTTCAATTCCCAAACTGGTTGAGGTCACCATGAAAGTCTAGTCTTCCCAACCTTGCCCCTCATCTGAGGTTTGGTAATCCTCAGGTTAAGCTCACAACCAATCATGAATCTATCTCTATCTCTCTCTCTCGCGCTCTCTCTCTCTCTCTTTCTCTCTCTCTCTCTAATGAGACAGCAGCATATGTTCCTCTACCACGGATGGCAACTTGCACTTTTTAGTTTCTTGCAGCATCACATCGGTTTCCTCCTCTGTTTGGGAACCAGGCTGGTGAGATGGGACATAAGTCAGTCGAGCAGTTGTCAGTGCCTGTCAATGTGTGGGTAATGTGGGAACACTTGAACAATGATGTATTTGAGGTAGTGCCAGTGGTTGGACTCTCAGTACCATTGGCTCACCATTGGACAGGGTATGGCCCTGTGCCAAGGTTAGATTCTCCACAGTCTGACAGGAGGAGGAGGTGTCATTTTAACAGAAAAATATTCTGTTTTAAAAGCAAATGCAGCAATTAGGATTGGAACTAGATTCAATTAAACCATGTTGAACTGTGCGTATTGTATCTTTGTTATTTTACTCATCTTGTAATACCTATCAACCTTGCGATGTTGTTCATGCTATAATTTGCTGAAGTTAGCTGAACAGAAGCTAGTGTGACTTTGCTCACTCTTCTCTAGTACTTTTCCTTCCTTCCCCCACTCTTCAAACTAAATGAAATCTTCTCTAATCTAAGGTTCCCTTTGCAAATCTGCCGGATTTGAAGAATAAGAAGCTGGGAGAGAGATTTTGTGTTACCCTTGCTCCATCTTTGTTTGCGATTGAAATTGTGGCAAATCTGATTAAAAATCCTGTTACGAACAAGGAAGAGAGTAAGTCAGAAGCAGCTATAAGATTACACAATTGATTCCTTCAATCTAATATTAACTATTTACAATGCTATCCTTATGAAACCTTGCATCCGTCACTATATTCTTAAAAATTGATTTTGTTCCTGGAATCCCTTTCTGTATAAAGGAGACAAAAACTTTCAGGAGAAATTAGTTGCCACTTGTGGTTCAGTAATAGAGCTGTCGTTTCTGAGTCAGAAGGTTTCTGTTCAATTCTCATTCTCAAGACTTTAGCCTATAGTCTGGTCGGGTATGGTAGCTCAGTGGTTCACCCTGCTGCCTGACAGCTCCCGGGACCTGGGCTCAATTCCAACCTTGGGGGACTGCCTGTGTGGAGTTTGCACGTTCTCCCCGTGTGTCTGCATGGTATTGCTCTGGTCTCCTCCAAGGATGTGCAGGTTAGGTGGATTGGCCATGCTACATTACCCGTAGTGTCCATGGATGTGCAGGCTAGGTAGATTAGACATGGGAAATGCAGGATTATTAGGATAGGGGGTGGATCTGGGTGGGATGCTCTTCAGAGGATCAGTGTGAACTTGACAGGCTGAATGGCCTGCTTCCATACTGTAGGCATTCTATGATTCTATAGGCTAGGGTGACATTCCACTGTAATATTACTGTACTGCTGGTGGTGCCCCCTTTTAGAACAGACAATGAGCTCATTACATCTTAGGCGCGTATAAAAGATCCTAAGGTGTTGTTTTGAAGAAGATCATGGGAGTATTTCCCCAGTATCCTAACAGCTGTATGGTGTAGTAATTGTTATGAAATTGCTTCCTTTTTTTTTGTTGCGCACTTGTGTTTAAAATATTGTGAAAATTTGTTCATTTGAAAGGGTGAGATTGTACAGACTTTTATTAAAGTAACTAAAAGAACACTTTAGGTTTTTTTTAAAGATAGTTGCAGGCAATCGTGTGTGGAGGTGGAGGAGACAAGGTAAGGTTATTTAGAAGGGTACATTTTTATACTGTCATGTTCTAAATTATGGGTTAATAAGCTTTACATCTTTATTGAATAAGTCTTGTTTATCATAAATCGATTATTCTGTTGTTTATTAAAGAAACCTAGTTGGTGGCTTTATATTCGGAAATGGATAGATTGGTATATGAAAGGCATATGAATAAGCTAACTACTTGTTTACTGGAAGATACGTGTTTGAATTTATGGCTGTCAGGAGTTGTGGCCATTTGAGTGCTGTTTGGAGTTCATTTGGTTTGTAGTCTACTGAGAGAAATTATCCAATTCATCATCTTCCACCTATTTTGGAAAATCTTCTGAGAATTCAACGCAAAAGCTAACAATTAGTAACTGTTTTCCTGGTAAGCTTCTGGAAAACTTCCTGTCAACATTGAGATATGATTGAAGTTTTCAAAATCATGATAAGGTGAAGCTGTTTTTGCTTGTAAAAGAAATAAGAACAAGAGGGCATTGATTTAACGTGATTTGCAAACAAAGCTGGGTTGATGTGAAGAAAAACTTTCTCGTACAGTGAGTTGTTAGTGTATGGAGTGAACTGCCTGGAAATGTGGTGGAGGCAGGCTCAATTGAGATATTCAAGAGGACATTGGATGGTTTTTATTTGGATAGTAATGATGTGCAAGGATATGGGAAAAAGGCAGGAGACTGGCACTAGGTAATAGAACCGGACTAGATAATAGAGCCAGTTTAAGCTTGATGGACCAAATAGCCTCATCCTGCACTGTAATAATTCTGTGATTCTTCTGAATGAACAGGTTCTGAAAGGATAGAACATAGAACGTAGAACATTACAGCGCAGTACAGGCCCTTCGGCCCTCGATGTTGCGCCGACCTGTGAAACCAATCTGAAGCCCATCTAACCTAAACTATTCCATTATCATCCATGTGTTTATCCAATGACCATTTAAATGCCCTTAAAGTGGGCGAGTCTACTATTTTTGCAGGCAGGGCATTCCACGCCCTTACTACTCCCTGAGTAAAGAACCTACCTCTGACATCTGTCCTATATCTATCACCCTTCAACTTAAAGCTATGTCCCCTCGTGCTAGCCATCACCATCCGAGGAAAAAGGCTCCCACTGCCCACCCTATCTAATCCTCTGATCATCTTGTATGTCTCTATCAAGTCACCTCTTAACCTTCTTCTCTCTAACGAAAACAGCCTCAAGACCCTCAGCCTTTCCTCATAAGACCTTCCCTCCATACCAGGCAACATCCTGGTATCCCAGTAACAATCATTTGTAGGTGTACCAGATTGAAAACCATCTGGAAAATTTCATATCTAGTCCTTTGTGTACAAATTAACAATTATTTGGCCAATTTTTTTTTGTGTAGTTACTTTCTGCAGAGAAAATGTGTTTTTAATTTTTCTTTTAATGTGTGTTTATGGGGTTGGGGGCATGTGAAAGATTATTTGGGTTATGTTTTTATACTGTCATATTCTAAATTGTGTGTAAATAAGTTTTGCATCTTTACTGAATAAATGTTGTTTAATCATAAATCAATCGTTCTGTTGTTTATTAAAGAAACCTGGTTGGTGGATTTGTATTCCAAAATGGATAGATTAGTGTAAATTTACCATATCATTAGCAGGGTAAAACAAGTCTTTTCTAAATTTAAATTTATGTTCTGACCAATGGAGAACTGGAGAACACGTGTACCCACATTGGTCTTAAAATGTGGCCTATTACCTAATTAATCTGAATCAGGTCTTTGATGTATTTCCCATTCAGTAGGCTTCCTCCTTCTCTTTGCATCTTAGGGCCTGCTACAACAATGGCTATGCTGGAACAGATGGGTGGACCTCACCAGGAACTCTGTGGGCTACAGAATCTGGGACTCATGGACACTGTGAATCACCTTGTCAACTGTACATCCACAAACACCATTGTTGCCAGATCACCATACTTCATTCCACCATTCAAACAGGCATGTATCTTCATGGAAGCTACATAACTGTCCTCCAGCTAGCCATGGGCACTAAGCCTGTAACAGCATTACTGAGACGTGGATGCAATTGTTCAATTTTGTTCAGAGAACTATATGAATACAGAGTGCCTTATAATCTTGTCCTGATTAAACATTCAATATAAGTTCAAATTGGTGAAGCTTCTCAGCAGATTTTTCCTCAAACTAGGATGTAGCTGTCTGTGAGAGTGTAGCCTGACTATTCAGACTGGGAGCATATCTTTGGGTCAATGACTATGCTCTTCCTGAGATACATTCAAGTAGCTTTAGGATAGAAACAAACAATAAAGCACTAAATTTGATCTGCAGCACTTGAAGGTATTTTCAGACTTGAGTAGATGCAAAGTTGATGCATTAAAAAGAATCATTAAAGCCAATGAAAAGAAGATGAGTAGAAATGTTGGTTAAACTGCATGTTGGCCTTTATTCACTTAGTTAGGTGTCAACTGTGGCTAAGCGGCAGCACTTAGTCCTGAGTTTAAAAAGTCAAGGATTCAAGTCCAACTCCAGTGACTGCAACAGGAAATTTAGACTGACACTCCAGTGCAATACCGAAAGAGTGCTACAATGCCAGAAGTGTTGTCTTTTGGATGCACCATTAAATGTAAGATCCTATCTGCCTTGTCACATGGACATAAAAGATCTTAATGATTTTGTTCAAGACTAGTGGAAAGATTCTTCCCATTGTACTGGACAATAACTATCCCTCAACTGCCATCAGTAAAATAGATCACCTGGTCATTGCTGTTTGTGGCATCTTGCTGTGCATAATTCAGTTGCTGCCTGTGGCCCCATTTTAAGAATATTTCATTGGTTATGTTGCACTTCAGGATGTCTTGAGGTTGTGACAGACGCTCTAGAAATGAGGCTACCCCTTTCCTTTCTAGTTTTTTTAAACCTATTTATATATATATCACTTCTCTACTAGAAAGGCTGAATTCATTCTTCATCTATTCACTATCGATGTCAATGCTCATGATCCCAGTTATTTCTATGAAATCATTTAACCGCAGGGTCTTTCCACTTTCAGATATTCAGCAAATCTCAGGCACTGGTTGTGGGGAGCCCACATTTCTCTTCACCGTTATCCTTGTGGGGAAGAGTTTGGAAGCCGTGGGGACCATTAATCGGAGCCCAGAAGGAGGTTATCAAGGTGGCTGAGTATCTGCAAACAGAGGCAGTCATGGGCGAAGAAGCCACTAAAAAGCTTGTGCTCAGCCAACTTCCACACATGACAATTGTGCATATCGGTAAGCAGAGCTTACAGACCTTGGGGTCTGAAGACCATGATCTAGAACATGATAAGGCCTCAAATTTGTATTATCACACTGTGATAATGACTGTGATCAGCTAGTGCTGTCACACTTTTGTCCACTCAGGTCAAAGTTCATTTGTTGTTGATAGGATAAATGTTTTCTACTGGAAAATACCATTGGTTGGGCACTGTAGTTTATATAGGAGCACAGGTAGACAAGAACAGGAATAGGCCATTCAGCCCCTTGAGCTCATTTCTCCATTCAACAAAATCAAGATTGATCTGTAAGCAAACTTCATATACACGCCGTTACGCCATTTGCCTTTATACTTTTGGATAAGTCTATCAATTACCAATTTAAAATTCTAGCATGATTTAGCCATTTGGACCTAACCTTCCAACCTCTAAGCTGTAGACATTTCTCATCAAAATGATCATTTTAAAGCTTCTGGGAAAAGTTTCTGGGAAAAGTAAAGAAAAAATAATGACCATTTTTCTGCCAGGCAATAGATAACACAGTCAAAAGTGAAACCTAGAGTTCACATTTGCTCCATAGATGTACAGAACAAGATATGAGAAGAGATTCATTATAAGTAAGCTATAGCCAGTTCCAGTCAGAAAACTTCTTTTATTCATTCACCGGATGTGAGCATGGATGCGTGGTTAGACCAGCATTTATTACCCACCCCTAATTGCCTTTGAGAAGGTGGTGCTGAGCTGCCTCCTTGAACTCCTGCAGTCAGGTGGTGTAGGTATACCCACAGTGTTGTTAGGGATGGAGTTCCAGGATTTTGAACCAGTGACACTGAAGGAACAGTGATATATAATTTCCAAAGCAGGATGGTTTATGTCTTTGAGAGGAACTTGCAGAGGGGGATATTCCCATATACTTGCTGCTGTTGTCCCTCTAGATGGTGGAGATCATGAGATTGGTGTTGATGAAGGAGCCTGGGTAAATTCTTACAGTGCTCCTTGATGCTGGCACCCACTCCTGCCAATATGTGTCAGGGTTGAAGGAAGTGAATGTTGTATGTGCTGGCTGGGCCGTTTTGCCTTGGATGCTTTTGAGGTTCTTGAGTGTTTTGGAGCAGCACACATCCGAGCAAGTTGAGAGTATTCCATCGCACACATGACTTATGTCTTATAGATGATGAACCAATATTGGAAAGTCAGAAGATGTGCCTAAACCCATACTGCTATTAGGAAAAGAGTTCTAGGATTTTGACCCAGGAACAGTAAAGGAACGGCACTCCACGAAGCATGCTATTAATAAACACATTGAACTCGACCCCATATACATTCCACTACGAAGGAAAACCAGAAGTGAGGCAATCCATCTCAACGAACCCCAGAGTTTAAAAACCAGGCGGGAAAACACACCGACACTTCATCGGAAGCTGCACTGAAGATGTTACCAAGCATAGTAACGAAACGTCTGCGAAACAAGAAACCAGCTCGGCGAGCCAACCAACCTCAACAACCTCAACGCCCACAATCCAAGCTACAAATCTACTCCAAAACCTTAAAGCGGCAGTGTATTTCCAGTATTTCTGGTGTTGTTGAGAATAGATGCGTCTGTTACAGGTAGATAAGTGAGAACAAGGTTACATTTTTCCCTATTGATTTCCTCACTATTTGATGCAGGTTTCCAATTTTCTGGAGGTACTTTTGTCATAATCACTGAATAGTGGTGAAAATCCTGCTCCTACTACATCTGAGACAGGATCAGATGGATCTGGGTTTTGCCTTCTTCTGGAAAATATTATGCCATATTTTGTCAGATGGTGTTGCCTGACATTATTGCAGAATACCAGGATTTCTTGTTCTGATTTTCAGATTTCTGGCTTTTGCAGTGCTGTCATTTCTATTTTATTTATGAATGCGCAGGCTGGCCCAGCCATCTTTTGTTACCATATTGAATTGTTGAAGGTCTGGTGGTCAAGGGTTCCTTCAATATTTGGTTTCTATGCACCATTTCAGAGGATGATGTTTTAATTTTTGTTTTGATTATTGTTCATAGGATGTAGGCATCGTGTGATGAGGAGGATGCAAGGGATTTGGATAGCCTAAGTGAATGGGCAAGAGCATGGAAGATGGAATATAACATGAATAAATGTGAAGTTATCAACTTGCTAGAAAAAACAAAGGCAGTGTGTTTTCTCAAATGGTGAGAGGTTAGGAAGCATTGCTGTCCAAAGGGACTGGATGGCCTTGTTCATAAGTGTTGGAAAGCTAGGATGCAGGTCCAATAGGTAATTCAGAAGGCATGTAGTATGTTGGCCTTCATCACAAGAGAATTGGAGTGCTAAAGATATCTTGCTGCATTTGTACAGAGCAATAGTGAGACCTCAACTGGAATATTATGTATCGTTTTGACCTCCTTATCTAAGGAAGGATATACCTGCCGTAGTGGAAGCACAACCCAAGGCTTGCCAGACTAATTCATGGAATATTGAGATTTAAATGGATCTTTATTTTTCAGAGTTTCCAAGAATGAGAGGTTATTTCATTGCAACTTAGGCAATTCTTATAAAATGTGAATGGGTAAATGTTGGATGCATCTTTTCTCCAGCTAGTGAGTCTAGAACCAGAAAAGAACACAGTCTCAGATAAGGGGCAGGCCATTTAACATTGAGACAAGGTGGAATTTCAAAAAAAAATTATGCATGAACAAATGTTGCATGGATGCTGCTAGGAAATGCTGACGTAGTGGTTAAGTTAGTGGACTAATATTCTGAAGACATGGGTTCAAATCACAATATGGACCATGTGCAGGCAAATGGGATTTGTTTAGAATGATGTCATGGTCGGCGCAGACATGGTGGACCAAAGGGCCTGTTCCTGTACTACTCTGTGTATATGTTCTACATTCAAAGTGGTTGGAATTCTCTACCCCAGAAGGATGAGGAAGTTCAACTATTGAGCGTGATCATCCAGAAATTGAGATTAGCAGGTAAAAATGGCATTGACGTAGATAAAAGACCATGATCTGTTTGAATGGTGGAACAGGCTAAATGGACTATATGGCCTTATCTCTTGGTTCCTATGTTTCTATGTAACACAACTCCCAGGGGAATGCCTTTTGGCAAAATTGTCACTGTAGGCCAAGGGTGGCACAGGTACTTTGGCACCCCATAAAATCATGCCAAAAAACATATTCGGAGTCTCTGCTTCAAACTTCAGCATGTTGAATTTCAGAAAAAATTTCAGTTCCCAATTTCTGTTGAAGACACAGGCTGGTTGGGTCCTGGAGCAGTGCTGGCTCACGGATGGATTTTTAATGATGTGGACATCACTGACTAGGCTAGCATTTATTTCCTATCCCTAACTGTCCAGAGGGCAATTAAGTGTCAACTATATTGCCGTGAGTCTGGAGTCATATGTAGGTGAGACCAGGTAAGGATGGCAGGTTTCCTTCCCTAAAGGGCACTAGTGAACCAGATGGGGTTATTTTTAAATGACAATCAGTAAAGGTGTTATGATTGCCATTAGACTAGCCTCTTAATTTCTGATTTTGTTTTAAATTGAACTGAAATTTCACCATCTGCCATGGAGGGATTCAAATCCATGTCCCCAGAACATTAGCCTGGGAATCTGGATGGCTAGCCAGGTGACATTCCATTTATACCATCAATTACCAGGTTGTCTAATGTGGATTTGAACTTTCAGTGCCAGCTGTGGCTTCAAAGGTGCCTTGACCCCAAAATTGATTGCACTCACCTCCTCTTCCTCAAAGTGATTGATCATTCATTGGTAAACCATGAACAATTGTAAACTACAGTCTGACTAACTAGGCAACTCCTTTGGAGTGACCTAGGAAGTAGCTTAACTCACTGATGTGTTAGTTCATAGCTCCCATTCCCTAGACCACACAGCAAAGACACTATTGCTGGTCTTGTTGTGACTCAATCACCGTGTGAGTCAAAACACAGATATCTGAGCTCACAGGTTTGTTGTTTGAGTCTGAAAGGGTTAATGCTGCAGATGTCATTAGCACAACCCACTGTGCTGATGTCATATAGACTTGGGCACAGTGCAGTTTAGGAGCTGATGGAGTGTGATCTGACATCTGATCCTCTTCAATTTCTCTGGAACAATGTCTATGGTATCAATGTAACCGGGAACTAGCAACTAACACACAATAACCTGTATCTTGTTAAGAACAACAACCTCTTCTACTTAGACCAGGAAGTGGTTTTCTTCTTAGACTAAGTGGGCCCTCTTGTTTCTTACACTGAGAGAGGATAGTGAGCAGTGGCCAGTTCATTGTGAGCAATCATTCATACAGCACAGAGAGCTGGCATGCCCTTATAACAAAGGTCTCTCCAGGTAATGATTTCAAAGTCTGCCTTCATCATTATCCAGGGAAGCCTGAACTGGGGAAGTTAAGGACACTCTCAAATTGAAAGAAAAACATAATATGTTTTTAGGGCCGCACAGTGGCTTGGTGGTTAACACTGCTGCCTCACAGCATCAGGGACCTGAACTGATTCCACATTCAGGTGACTGTCTGTGTGGAGTTTGCATATTCTCCTCGTGTGTCTGCATGGGATTCATCTGGGTGCTCTGGTTTCCTCCCACAGCCCAAAAATGTACAATTTAGGGTGGATTGGCCATGCTAAATTACCCATAGTGTCCAGGGATATGCAGGCTAGGTAGATGAGCCATGGGAAATGCAGGGTTACAGGTCTAAGGTAGGGGGGGTGAGTCTGGGTAAATGCTCTGCAGAGGGTTGGTGTGGACTCGACAGGCCGAATGGCCTGGTTTCACACTGTAGGGATTCTATGATTCTAGGTAGCAAATATTAATGTTAAAACAGAGATTTGGCAAAGTTTTGAAAGTCAATAAAATATGACCCAGAAGAAACTAAAAGGAAAATAAACTGTGAGGGAAAACTAGCAAGCAACATTAAAAAAAAAGTAAGAGCTGCTTTAAATATATAAAAAGGAAGAGAGAAGCAACAGTAAACATTGGCTGCTTACAGAACAATTTTGGGGGAATAATAATGGGTAGCCGGGAAATGGCAGAAGAGTTGAATGTATACTTCGTATCAATCTTCACAATTGAGGATGCTAACAGCATTCCAAAAATAATAATCAAGGGGCTAAAGGGTGGGAATAGGAAATAAAGATAATGACTATCACTTATTTAAGACACAGGTGAGAAGGAATTTTAACTTTGAGAGTAGGAAACCTATGGATTTCTTTACCATAGAGAGCTGTCGAGATTGGTTCGTTGAGTATAATCAAGGCTGAGATAGGCAGATATCTAATTATTAACAGAATCGAGGGTTATGCGGAAAAGTCAGGAAAGTGGAGTTGAAGATTATCGGATTGATCAGCCATGAACTCATTGAATGATGAGAGGACTCAATGGGCTGAACAGCCTAATTTTGCTCTTATGCCTTCTGGTTTTATGACCTAAAAGTCAGTTTAATGCTGCATTCCTATAACAGTTTATCCACGTTGGTCCTTGTGAGGGACTTGGTAAATGGATGACTGGCTGCCAGTCATACAGTCATAGAGACAATGAGTGCAGAAACAGATCTTTTGGTCCAACTCATCCATGTCGATCAGATATCCTAAATAAATCTAGCCCCATTTGCCAGCATTTGGCCCAAATCCCTCTAAACCCTTTCCATTCATATACCCATTCTGATGCCTTTTATACATTGTAATTGTACCAGCCTCCACTATTTCCTCTGGCAGCTCATTCCACACATGCACTACCCTCTGCATGAAAAAGTTGCCCCTTAGGTCCCTTTTAAATCTTTCCCCTCATACCTTAAACCTATGCCCTCTAGTTTTTGGCTCCCCCAGCCTGAGGAAAAGACCTTCTCTATTTACCCTATCCATGCACCTCATGATTTTATAAACCTCTATAAGGTCACCCCTCAGCCTCTGAACTCCAGGGAAAATAGCCCCAGTCTAGTCAGCTTCTCCCTATACCTCAAAACCTCCAACCCTAGCAACATCCTTGTAAATCTTTTCTGAACACTTTGAAGTTTCACAACATCCTTCCTATAGCTGGGAGACCAGAACTGCACGCAGTATTCCAATAGTGGCCTAACCAATGTCCTGTACAACTGTAACATGACCTCCCAACTCCTATACTCAATGCACTGACCAATAAAAGCAAGCATACCAAATGCCTTCTTCACTATCCTATCTACCTGTGACTCCAATTTCAAGGAACTATGAACCTGTATTCCAATATCTCTTTGGTCAGCAACACTCTCCAGGACCTTGCCATTAAGTGTATAAGTCCTGCCCTTATTTGCCTTTCCAAAATGCAGCACCTCACATTTATCCGAATTAAACTCCATCTGCTACTCCCCAGCCCATTTGCCCATCTGATCAAGAAATCATCGTACTCTGAGGTAAGCTTCTTCACTGTCCACTACACCTCCAATTTCGGTGTCATCTGAAAATTTACTAACCATATCTCCTGTGTTCAAATCTAAATCATTTATATAAATAATGAAAAGCTTACTGAAGTTCATGTAGATCACATTCACTGCTCTGTCCTCATCAATCCTCTTTGTTACTTCTTCAAAAAACTCAATCTAGTTAATGAGACATGATTTCCCACACAAAGCCATGTTGACTATCCCTAATCAGTCCTTTCCTTTCCAAATACATGTAAATCCTGTCCCTCAGGATTCCCTCCAACAACTTGCCCATCATTGATGTCAGGCTCACCAGTCTACAGTTCCCTGGCTTTTCCTCAGCACCTTTCTTAAATAGTGGCACCATGTTAGCCAATCTCCAGTCTTCCGGCACCTTGCCGGTAGCTATCAATGATACAAATCAATGAATTGAAATTTAGGCCTGTTCTATAAATCTAGGTAGTCTGCTCTGGCAGGTAGTGAGGAGGAAAATCTTCTGGCCCTGGAAACAATTGATGGGACAGTGATTAGATAGTTAGTATCTAATCCGTGGAGTATCTGCCCTGGGAGGTTTTGGTGGCTCAGTGTATAGGGAACTTTATTTTATATTTAACCACATGCTATACCTGTCCTGAGAGTGTTTGTTGGGGACAGTGTAGAGGCAATTTTACTCTGCATTTAACAGCATATTTTACCTGTCCTAGGAGTGCTTGATGTCTTTGAAATGGGTAAACAGAAACTACAACACCAAGGAGTTTGAAAAGTGTGTGGATGCTTCTCTGATGATGATTTTTCTAATGTTGCAGCAACTTATGGGAGCTGGGAGGACGGTGTGTTGGTCTTTACCCCACACCCACCTCCAGTTGCAGGAGAACTAGTGGAGGAGCGTTCCTATTTACTGACCATTCCTGAGATCCTTGAGCTGAAACTGAAGGCTAAAATTGTCGTCCTGTCTAGCTGTGGGGATGGAGGGACTAACCAGGATCCTGTGGTGCCTTTGGAACTGCCCACTGCCTTCCTCAGAGCTGGTAAGTGTTTGGTGTCTTGCTGACTTCTTCAAATTGAATTGTTAATGCAAGCCAATATTTCTTAAATACAGCCCTGAGTTGGATATTATAAAGGAAGCTCAATCTATCTCGCTTCTTGTTGTGTGTCTATTTATGATGTGGTTAAGGATTACTCTCATTTTGTGAGACTGAAAATAGCAGGTTAATATATACGTAAAATGTCTGTCGCATTTAAGACTATTGATATAACGTATTGCTACTTCATCATTTGCAGTTTCAGACAGGAGAAATAAAGGCCAAGTTTTTTTTCTTCATTGGAAACAACATCAAAGGGTTGGGTGCAGCTTGTTCAGTTTCATTGCAAAATTGTACATGCTGCCTTTTATTTTATTTATGTTTCAAGTTATATTATCTTGGTCACAGTTGCATAGCAGTTGGGAAAAGTACAGAAGAGCTGTTTGGAGTCTAGGAGTTTCACCATACTGTAAATTGAGGAATTAGGAAGATGTAAAACTGAGTTGCTACAATGCCACTAGCATTGGAAGGGTGTGATTATAGCAAGACACAATTTCATAGGCAGTTTCCATTATAGATTTTGCTATAGGTATTTAGTATGAAAAATTGGCCAGCCAAAAGGTTGGTTTTGATGGTATTGATTACATTGAGCCAGTTAGCACACTATCTAAAGCCCTGCTGTCACCATGTACAAAATCGACTCATCAAATTTCATTACAATACCCATATTGAGACTATATTAAGTTTATTTTTAAAACTTCTGGCCTCCACTAAAAAAAAATTCTATTTGGAGCAGCATTTAAAGAGTTAATATTTTATAACTCCATGAAATGAAATGATTTTAAGAATAATCTCAGGTCAGCAACACTATGGTTGCAATCCGCAGTGTGAGTAGTGTGAAGCCTGTGGTCCAGGGTATTGGGGCAGGTCTCATGTGGGCTGATAGAACTCCGGAATGTTTCAGGGACTCTTTTTGCAAAGTTTTTTTTAAAATTGTTTGTATTTTAAGTCTCATTGAAGACTGCTAGTTATTGTCGCTGTGCTGGTTCTAGTGGACAGAGTTTGCATAGCATACAATCCACGCGATTTTTCTCACAATTGCAGTTATGGTCCGGTGTATGTCACAGGACCCTGATTTATGTTTTCCAGGTGTTCAGGGCTCTATTTCAGTAGCAATTGGAGCACTAGTTTTCTGATACCACTTTCCTCCCATCAGTGTCTTGTCTGCCTCAGGCAGAGCTAATTACTGTTTGTCAAAATAAATTAGAATCATATGGGAGTTTGCTGCATCTGTAGAATCGGAGCCTAAATACTCATCAGCAATCCCCAATAAACAAGTGGTGTAAGTATAGTTTCTTGCTGAAATGAAGAACAATTTTATTGTTTGTTGCTATTCTCGTTTGTGATTGTTTTGAGAAGCCTGGCTGAATCTATGGTCCGGTGATTACTGTGGCCATTTTTGAATCAGTGTTTTTCCTTTTTGAAACTATTTCAGTCTGTAAAAGTCCCAGTGTAAACATTGGTGATGGAAGTTAAAAATTGTCCATATTTTCTCACTGTCAAGACATAATAAAAATAATAGAACACATTTATATATTTCCTTCTCAAATATCTCTGGAAAAATAACCGGTATTATTAGCGTACTCTATTTAATTAATCTTTTTTGTTTGGAACTTTTATTCTGAACCTTCTTCCAGATTTAGATGGTACAGTCTTTTCAAAATTTCTACAGTTTATGTTAATCATTTATTGTTGCCTCTCGCTAATGAGTGAGAGGTAAGGTTGTGGTGACTTTACCCTTGATATGAGATAAAGACAACATGCAAGAATTGTAACTGCTAAATGTTATTGCAAAACATGAAGATTACATAATACCACATCTGAAAGAAACAAATTTACTTTGCTAAACTTGTACTGCGCAGTTTAAACAGCTTTACAATATAGAGTCTTCCAACAAAAGCTACATTAGAAATAGTTGTAGAGTTCATGAACTACTTTAAAACCTTAAATGTTAAATCTGTGAAATACAAACAGAATACACTAGAAATACTCAGCAGGTCATACAACATCTGAAAGAGAAAAGCCAAGTCACTGTATTTCAGAAATATCCAAATCTAGAATAAAAATAGAAAGTGCTGGATGTGCAGTAGCTGACACAGCAACTGTGGAAGAGAAAGACTTAAAATTTCAAGTCAAACATTACTCTTCTTCAGAACTGAAGGAAGTCTGAAGTTCAGAAATCTGTTGGAATTTTATGCCATTGAAATGGTAGGGTGGGAGGGAGAACAAATGGGACGTTCTGAGATGAGATAGAGGTGAAAGAAATTAAAGGACAAAGATACCACAGAAGAAAAAGCAAAGAGAGTGGTTGTGATAAAGGAGTCAGTATACAGACCGCTGCTAAAAAACAGAACCAGAAGTGACAAGACCCACCGCACCAGAGGATCATATAAATTCAGAATGGAGCAGAACACCAATGCTTTGATTAGAGGTCGCACTGATGATGTTGCCTAGAATGGTAACAAAACATCTGCACACCACAGAGCAACCAGCTTGGTGAGCAAACAAACAACTGCAATGTTACCCTACACTAACTCAACTAAGAAGCAGACATGGGACTATCACCATAACAGCATAACTCAATGTATAAGCAACCCATGTCGAGATCCAGTTGCTCAGCTGTGCAAAGCTTTTAACAAATTGTGGAGATAGCATCAGTGCTCCAGTTTGCCTAATAATCTTATCTTTGGAGGAGAAACGTTCTGGGTACATACACTGGTTGTTGGAGATGATGGGTGATCTTTGAAAGAAGGAGAAGGCTTGTTGTTAGAGGACACCAAGATCAAGCACCTATACATGGTCGAAGCTGAGACATGAAGGATGGTCAATTCAGCAGGTGCCAACAGATGCAATCAATGGTAGACAATAAAAAAAGGAAGGAAGTCCACCTTTACCATTCCTTATGCCTCCGGGCACTAGAGCATTGTACAGTTGTATTTTCTTATGCACCCGTTATTAACACCTCAAACATACAGAAATTTGGGTAATATCCATCTCTCTGCCCTGATGTATTTCCGCAATTCATTCATAATATGTCTGTTAGATGTTGAAGACAGCTTCCTATGTAACCCACTGTCCAGGTAATGCAGTTACCATTGCTAGATACCAACATGCATCAATATCAAATGCGGCACATTGAGATGATTTTCAGTGGTTGCGTGCTGTGTTATGATTGCTTCCTATTGTTCATCTCTAACAGTAATCCTTGTGCGGCATCCTATTAGACACAGCAGCAGCAGCAGGCACACCAAGCACAGAGAGTTCTTCTGGGAAACTGTAGCCCTTGTGGGGTGCCTTGACACAGAGCTGCAGGCTGCTCAGTGATTGGCTGTGAGCTACGATGATCTTTGGCTATTACTTTATGTTGTGATTCATTGTCCTGTCTCACTGCAGTTTTTGCAGACTCCATTTCTGTTTTAAGGGCCAAAAAGATGGCTAGGTCCAGTTCGAGCATGACAACTCCACCACGTGGACATGGGGTATTCTGACGGCACTGGGGACAGGGGATCCACCTCTGCTCATTCAGTGTGATGTCCAATCTCCGGATGCAGGCCTGGCAGAAGGTGTGCCCACAGTAGAGTTTTCGAGGCAACCTGTCAGAAAGGTTGTGGGTGGAGTAGCAGATGATGCATTCATTGTTCTTTTGCTGAGCTGGAGCACTACTTTCCTTGTTGGGGCTGTGATCTGAACCCTCGATTTGGCCAGCATCAGCCAGCTCACTGTCCCTCCGGAACATCTGAGGAGAAGCGCAGAAAGACAGAATCACAACCACAAGCCATGCCACAACCAAACAAAAGATTAGTATTTCAGTTGCACCTTTTCTAACCCAAAGCTCTTCATGACCAATAAAACATTTTTGTATTGTAATGTGGAGAAATGTGGTTGCTAATTTTACTCTTGAGATCCTACAAACTGCAATGTGATAATGACTAACTAATCTGTGTTTACTGATGTCCATTGAGGTTAAAATGTTGGCCAAGACACTGGGGATCATGCTCCTGCACTTCCTCAAAATGCTGCCGTGGGATCTTTAACGTCCACTTGAGAGGGCAGGCAGGCCTCAGTTTAATGTTCCATTGAAAAGATATCACCTGTACCAGACCCTTTGAACTGAACAGAGTGTCAGCTTTGAACATGTGCTCCACTGTCTGAGGTCAATGGTAGTTACTCCTGGGCACATTGCTTGTGGGTGACGCTTTTCTTTCGTTCATGAGATGTGGGCATCACCATTCAGAATTATCTCTGGACAAAGTGGTGGTCAGCTTCCTTCATTATCTGCTCCATGTGGTGTAGGTAGACCCAAAATGCTGTTACAAAGCGAGTTCCTTTCTTTTGTCAGACTTCGTAGCAGTTTCATATAACTAAATGGTTAGCTAGACCATTTCAGAGGGCATTTAAGAATTAAGCTCTCGAGGGAGTGCAGCGAAGGTTTACCAGGCTGATTCCAGGGATGACAGGTCTGACGTATGAGGAGAGATTGACTAGGTTGGGATTGTTTTCACTAAAGTTCAGACAAATGAGGAGGGATCTCATAGAAACTTATAAAATTCTAGCAGAACTAGACAAATGAAATGAGGCACATTGAGATGATTTTCACAGTGAGGGTTCAGGGTAGACGATTTAGGACACAGATGAGGAGACATTTCTTCACCCAAAGAGTGGTGAGCCTGTGCAATTCATTACCACAGGAAGTAGTTGATGCCAAAACATTGAATGTATTCAAGAGGCAGTGAATGGGATCAAAGGTTATGGGGAGAAAGCAGGATTAGGCTGTTGAGTTGGACGATCAGCCATGATCGTGAAGAATGGCGGAGAAGGCTCAAGTGGTTGAATGGCCTTCTCCTGCTCCTATCTTCTGTTATGTTTCTATGTAACCACAATGCTGTGGGCCTGGACTTGCATGTAAACAAGACTTGATAAGGGCTAGGTAGTTTTCCTTCCTTAAAGAAGTCTGGTGAGCCAGAATAGTTTTACAGATATGGGAACACAGATAGTATCTTGCTTGACATTTTTTTTTGTAGCAAATCATTTATCCCAGTTAGATAAATGGACTTCGGGGAAACACACTGTTATCTGAAACTATTGGCAACACTAAGCCAAAATCCTACTGAGTGAGGCAAAGAATTGTTCTGGTACCAGAGGCTTGTCCAATGCTATGGTATTTTTCCTCAATAGACAAACATTTTCCATTAGATACAAGAGCAGAAGTAGGCCATTCAGCCCATCTGTCTGCACCACAATTCAGTGAGATCATGGCTATCTGATAGACCTCAACTCCACTTTCCTCCCCTTTCTCCTAACCCTGGATTCTGTGACAGATTAAAAACCTGTCTATCTCAGTCTTGAATGTACTTAATGACGCAGCTTCTATAGCCCTATGCAGTTTAAAAAAAAATCCACAGATTCAGTACATTCTGAGAGAGGAAATTGCTCCTCACCTCTGTATTAAAATAGATTCAGTGTAGTCTTCGTGACCTCCCTTGTATCTTATTCGCCTACTGGACTGCTCTAGCACTCCTTCAAAACCTGTTTGGACCTTGCCCTCAGTTTTACATCTGCTCTGTACCCCAAATTAGTTTAAAACCTCCCAAAATGCATGAGCAAACCTCCCAGCAAGGATATGGACCCATGCCGATTTATACAGGTCCCACATACCCCAGAAGCAGTCCCAATGATCCAAAATTTAAAGCCATCCCTCCTACGCTATCTCTTGTACCAAGCATTCATCAGTCCTATCTTTCTATTCCTATATTCGACAGCATATGGCACTGGAAATAATTTGGAGATTACAACTTTAGTAGTCTTCCTCTTTAATCTACTACCTAACTTTCTCAATTCCTATTGCACAACCTCATTACGTTTTTCCACATGCTTTTGGTACCAACATGTGCCACAACTGCTGGCTGTTCACCCTTCCCCTTCCGCCCCGCAGTCACTCTTTGCCTCTCTGGTGCCAGGTTCAGGGATGTCTATGTACCATTTGAGCGTTTTTGTTTTCTGCCACAGAACTGCCTGTCACTTCCCCGTACAATTGAGTTCCCTATTGCTAAAGCTTTCCCAGTCTTCTTCCTCCCTTGCTGTGCAGCAGAGCCAACCATGGTGCCACACACTTGGCTGTTGCTGCTTTCCCCTGAGAGGCCATTTCCCCCCCAATAGTATTGAACACAGTCTATCTGTTTGAGAAGGGAATAGCCACAGAGGACTCCTGCACTGCCTACCCACATTTACTAGTCTTCCTGGTGGCCGCCAATGCTTTTCTGCCTGTGTAACCCTTACTTGTGGTCTGACCAGCTCAATGATCATCCTATCTATGACATTCTCAGCCTCATGGATGCTCCATAGTGAGTCCATCCACAGTTCCAGCCGCTCCATGCAGCCGATCAAAATCTGCAGTTGAACAAACTTCTTGCATACATGGTCACCATGGACACTGGAAGTGTCCCTGATTTCCCAAATATTGCAGGAGGAGTGTTCCACAAGGCCATGTTCTCCTACTATTGTGAATCTTACCAACTACAAACATATATTTAAACTTATTGTCTGTTTTTATATTACTTGCTCATCTTCTCTCAAAATGTATTTTCTCCCTCCATTTATTTTTTGGTCATCTTTTGTTGGTTTTCAGAACTTTCCCAGTCTTCTCTCTTACCACTAATCTTGCCACATCATGTGTTTTATCCTTTCAAGTTGATGCTACCCTTTAACTTTCTTCATTAGCCATGTTTAGTTTATCTCCTTCCTAGAATCCACCTTCCTCACTCAGCTATATCTTTGTTGTGAGTTATAAACTGTTTTCTTAAAATATCTGCCATTGTTCCTCAACTATCTTTTCTGCTACAGTTCTTTCCTGGTCCACTCCAGCTGGCTTATTCCTTTAAAATTACACTCATTTAAGTTTAACACAGTTGTTTCAACCCAAGCTTTTCACGCTCAAACTGAATGCTAAATTCTACAATGGTCACTGGTACCTGGAAGATCTTTTACTTTAAGATTGTTAGTTTATTAAACCTGGCTCATTAAACATTACCAGGTCCAGAATAGCCTGATCCACAACATTTTTTCAAGGAAACTGTTATGACTATGTTTTATAAATTCTTCCTGGTGCCCACCTCTATCCCTTGTTTTCCCTGATGTAACAAAGATTAAAGTCACCCATGATTAATGTACTGCCTTTTTTATATGCCCTCCTTATCTCCTGATGTATTCTCTGTCCTACAGTATAGCTACTGTTAGGAGGTACTCCCACCAGTGTTGTCTTCCCCTTTTTATTTCTTATCTCCACCCATATGGATTCTACATCTTCTAATCCAAGACCATTTCTTGTAAACTTACATATTCTATCTCATACTAGTAACGTTATCCCACCACCTTTCTTGTCTGCCTGCCCTTTTGAAAAGTCACGTATCCCTGAATGTTTAGTTCCTGGCTTTGATTCCAAAATCCTACCTCGCTCTATTGAGTTTAAAGTCACCCTTCTACAGCTGTAGTTATTCGATTCAAACACTGGTTCAAAGTGTAGTACATTCTTTGTTTTATTGTTTTTATTGAGTAAACTAAATAAGATGATAAAAGTATGTTTATTTGTTGTGAAATAAGGCAGCTTAATGATTAGTATCTGACCTCCCCATGGTATCTGCTCAGACTGACTTTGAGAAGACTGGAGAGGCACGTGGAGAAAAGGAAGTGAACATCCAGTTCAGATCATAATACAGCCTTATTGTTACTTCTCACGTAAGATTCTCAAACTGCATGAGTGAGTGACTAACATCACTGCACCTGCAAGGATATCTTTTAAAAAAAAGTATTCAAGCCAGACCAGGTAATGATCACTCATTGTCTAAGTAGGTAAATGTTGTCTAGAGGTCACTTACTTGCACATGCTCATAGCAAGTAGGCAAAATTAATGTGGATCCTTGGATGTGCTGAACACTATATTGCCAAAAGGAGATAACATTGCAGCATCCAACTGTACTAAGTTAGAAATTATACCGTGTTAATAAGTCAGGGAGGCACTTGCATAAAAAATTAATATCCAGTCAAACAGTAACTATTTAGAAAAACCAAAAGAACTGCAGATGCTGTAAATCAAGAACAAAAACAAAGTTGCTGAGAAAGCTCAGCAGGTCTGGCAGCATCTGTGAAGGAGAAAAC